GCACACACACACACACACAAGTAAACACTGGATGATGTAGCCAAGCCATTGGTTTCATTTCTGTGTTTTGTCCCGAGGGTTTGACTGTGAACTGTACTTGGGTTGGAAAGGGCTAGTGGGGGAGGTGGCAGAGGTCATCGGTCCTGGGCGGGGCGTCCTGGTGCTGCAGAACTGGTCTTACCACTCGCCAGCTCATCCTGCGTCTGGCTCTGGCCTTCTGTGCACCCAGCTCTGCTTTCCTGTCCCTGTGGTTCTAGTATTCTATTTTGGCCATGTTTGCTGCCCACTGCAAGTGCTTCGGCCACCTTCTAAGCAGCCTTCCAGTATTTGGGCTTTTCCTGCTTATAGGCTGCCTTCCTCAGCTTGATGTTCCTCGAAAGTTCTGCCTGCAAATTGTCAGCTTCTGTATGTTGCCCACGGTTGAAGTCTGTAGTGTGGCGTTCACTGTAGCATAGACCCTGCAGTATGAGCCCTTATCTGTTTTACATTCTGTCTTCCACTACTGACCTTTGTCTTCTGCTGTCCAATCTTGGAGTGTTCTAGAATATGCATTCAGGTCCTAGGCTGAGCCTTCCATTCTCTTACCTCTGTTAGAGCTCACAGCTTTCTCTGCCTGACGCACAAAAGGGACAAGTGAAGTTTCTCACCCCCCCACCTTACTAGGACTGAACCCAATATCTTGTTTTTTTTGGTTTATGTTTTGTTTTTGGCAGAACCTGGGATTGAACTCGGGACCTTGTGCTTGCCAGGCAAGCCCTTATTCTACTGAGCCATCTCCCAGCCCCTTATCTTGTTTTTTTTGAGGGAGGGTCTCACTAAATTGCCCAAGCTGGCTTTGAAGTGAAATCCTCCTGCTTCAGGCTCCTAGAGTGCTGGTATTTACAAGCTTTACAAGCATGCATTGCCACAGCAAGCTAGGTTCTTTTCTAAACAACAAATAGATTTTGACTACTAGAGATATCTCAGTGGCAAAAGTGCCTGCCTGGCACGCGCAAAGTCCTAAATTCAATCCCCAGTACTGAAAAAGAAAAAAAAAAAAAAAAAAAAAAAAAAGGAGGCTGGGGAGATGGCTCAATGGAATAAGCGCTTCCCTGGCAAGCGCAGGGGCCTGAGTTCAATCCCTGGTTACGCCAAAAAAACCCAAAAAACCGGTGTGTATCTCCATCAGACAACCTAATGTGTTATCCTGTCTCCCCAACTTACACAACCTCTTTTAATACCCTTTTATTAGCTTCTATATCATCCCAAGGTATCTGCAAATGCAGATATTATATATTATTTCCCCACTTTTTTTGAGCGGAGTTTTTTTTTTTTTTTTTTTTTTTGTAGAGCTGGGGATTGAACTCAGGCCCTTGCACTTGCCAGGCAAGTGCTTATTCAACTGAACTATTTCCGGAACCCCCTAAATGATCTCTTATCAGTACAGAATGGTTCATCATTTCTCTTATACCTTTATTTTTTTAATGTATTTGGTTGTTGCACGGTCTCACTATGCAGCTTGAACTCCTAATGATCCTCCTGCTTTCAGCCTCCCCAGCGGTGGGATTACAGGTGTGCGCCCCCATGCCTGAACTCTGGTCAGTTCAGCCCACCCTGAGGGCAAGGCTGCAGCATGTGGTGCCAGGGTTTGAACCATGGTCCCTGCGCTTGCCTAAGCAGGCACTGTAGTCCACTGAGCCATCTCTTTGGCCCTCCTGTATTTTTGTAGTATTCCATCATGGGTTTTTTTGTTTTGTTTTGTTTTTGGCAGAACTGGGGATTGAACTCAGGCCCTTGCGCTTAAGTGCTTATTCTACTGAGCCATCTCCCCGGCCCCTCCATCAGCTCCACCAAAATTTAATTTGTTCCCATCGGTGGACATTTGAGTTGTTTTTAATGTTCTGTCATAATATTCCAATGTGCATGCTGGGATTTTTGAGTCCAAGGGTACATGTTAATTGAAATTTTGAAAGATTTTGGTAAAAGTACCCTTTAGTTTTTTGATGATTTTTAAATGTCAAAAGAATAGCTCAGATCTTATTCTGATTTTCCACAAGTCAAAAGGATCTGCTTTTCTAGTCTCCCCTTGTGTGTGTGTATTTATGTTTGTTATTTCTCAAGTGAGTGAAAGAGCTTGGGTCTTTATTTCATATCTATGTCTTTTGTATAAATAATCTGTACTGTACAAGAAAAGATAAGGCAGTTGCCTCCTATCCCTTGTTGGTGGTGCAGAGACAAAGCTCTTTAGAAGGCAGGGGTCCTGTGCACATGCCGCAAGTTCAGTGTAGAATATTTAGCATCTGAGTGTAGGAGACTGAGCTGCTGAGCAAGAATCGGCGCCAACAGCGGAGCACTGCTTCGTGGGGCAGCCCGTGGGCTTGGCGTGCGTGGTGGTCTTTGTGTGTTCAGAACCTTTTCTGGTTGGATTACAGCGCCTATAAAAGTACACAGATCTCAAAAGTGTACTGTTGGAATGACCACAAAATGTGTTAAGCATTTTTAGTCACCAGCGTTGGAAAGCCAGTCGTAGCTTTCCCCTCCTCAGTTAAGGCACCCCCACTGTCAGATGCTGTCTACCTGTTCCTAAATGCCTGTACAGTCCAGAACTCCAGCCTCAATACAGCTGGTGGTTCAGGCATCAGCTGGAAAGATGGGGCTCCGGGGCCTTGGTCAAAAGTAGCAAAAAATTCTTGAGCAGCACCGCTGTCACCAGATTCCCTCACTTAGCTTGCTTGCTCTTACTAATGAAACTTGAAAGATCGGTAGTGGAAAAAAAGTTTATTTTCTGCACTTAAGCTCCCTTAGAAGCTGTCTTTTGTCTGACTCCTCATTGTGTGTGTGTGTGTGTGGGGGGTTAAGAACAAAGCATGAATTTTTAGATGTAAAATTAAACCCTAATTGATGTGTTGCCTGAGCCGTCTTTTAAAGCCATGATTCTGATGACCAAACCCAATACTATGTCAGACATTATCATAGAATATATATTTAAAATAGAGCCCTCCACCCTCCGAAGTTTACCTCCGTTCCACCAGTGCTCAGAAGTACTTCTGCCCCCACACAGCGCTGTTGTTATAGTCATCATGCAGGTGTCCCTGGAATTATTTACACTTTGAAATTTTGTTTTAAAAAGTGATGTGTTTTGTTAAAAAGAAAACCACCTCCAAGCCCCACAACCCATCCAAATTATACAATGGCAAGAAAACTTGGGGCTTTTTAAAAAAGTCTGTATCTGTGGTCCCTCTCACCTTAAACTGAGGCCACCACTTCACTGTGGCTCCTTCCAAGACACTTCTTTTTTTGTTTGTTTGTTTTTGGCAGAACCAGGGATTGAACTCAGGCCCTGGTGCTTGCCAGGCAAGCGCTTATTCTACTGAGCCATCTCCCTGGCTCCCCAAGACACTTCTGAGTGCACTCCTACGTGTGTACCGGACACACGCACACGGGCCTCCCTTTCCTGCGCTTATGAGAGTCCTGCACTTGGGCATCTGCGTTTCCACTGTACTTCACAGGTCAAAGGAGACGCCCTGCGTGTCTGCACGCCCACACTCTCCTTTGGGCTGCATTCTGCTACGCTTCATGAACATTTCATATTTTCACCCATCTCTTACTGGCTAGTGATAAGGTTTGCAGTCTTTCTACTACAGATACCAGTATTGCAAACACCCTTGACATCTATTTTTTTTTTTTTTTTTTTTTTTTTGTAGAACTGGGGATTGAACTTGGGCCCTTGCGCTTGCCAGGGAAGCGCTTATTCCACTGAGCCATCTCCCCGGCTCCGTTGACATCTATTTTTGTACACGAGTATACATGCATCTAAATGATAAATTCCAAGAATTGAAATTATGAAGCAGGAAGGTGTGTGCATTTACTTTGGTGTGTCCAGTGGCCCTAGAGGGTGTGACGGCCTACATTCCGGCAGTGGGCATCGGTGCGTTTCCCAGCACCCTCCCCGAGCCTGTGATTACCAGTTTTGGTCATGGCCAGCCTTTAAGTGAAAATGGTATTGACTGTGGCCGCCAGTGGGCCTCACTGTGATGCAGCATGATTTTGTCCTGGCAAGAGCCTACCTCAGCGCTGCAGGCACGTGCGCGTGGGAAGCCCACTTGTTATTAAAAACTATCTGCACTCTGTATCCTTTTTGTTTTACTTTGTTTTTTTGACACAGAGTCTCACTATGCAATTCAGGCTGGCTTTGAGCTCACTTTGTAGCCCAGGCTGGTCTCAAACTCACAGTGATCCTCCTGCCTCAGCTTCCCGAGTGCTGGGATTATAGGTGTGTGTCACCACACCCAGTTGTAGATAGTCTGTTAAAAATCCCCAAAGGGATGGAAACATTTAAAGATGAGGTGACTAAGCTATATGTGTATTTAACAAATCCATTCCTTTTTCTCTGACCTCACTCTCTTTCTAGTCTGCCTTTATATTGTGTGTGTGTGTGTGTGTGTGTGTGTGTGGCTGGGAATCAAACTCAGAACCTTGCCCTTGCCAGGCAGGCACTTAGGCCTGCTGAACTGTCTGCCTAGCCCCTGCCATTATATCTTTTAAGTTTCTTTCTTAATTCCTTGTACTAGTGCCCCTCTCTAGCCAGAGACATGAATATCTTCAACTTTGTTCTGTCTGGACTGCCCCCCCCCCAAGAAAGTATTAGGCATTAGCATCTTTTCTTGGTTGTTCCTGAGAATTGCTTCCTCTGTTGGTGCCAGGGTGCCAGCTCTGTGCAGACCAGGCCTTCGCCTGTCACCTCCACCTGTGGACAGGGCCTGCCACTGCACACAGTCACTGTCCTTTTGAATAGGCCTTTCTTTCTTTCTTTCTTTCTTTCTTTCTTTCTTTCTTTCTTTCTTTCTTTCTTTCTTTCTTATCTTTCTAGGCACGCATTTCTTACTATAAAGTACACATAACGTAGAACTTACTGTTTGTGCAGCTCAGTGGCGTTCCGTCCTTTATTTTGAATGACTAAATGAGTGATGATACTGGTTATTTGTCCTTGAAAGTTGCCAAGAGCCAGGCGGCCCTTTTAATTCTCGTTGCCCTTCTTTCCTGCAGACGAAGTCATAAGGAAGCGTCTCCTGATTGATGGAGACGGCGCTGGAGATGACCGCAGAATCAATCTGCTGGTGAAAAGTTTCATCAAGTGGTGCAACTCTGGATCCCAAGAAGAGGGGTATTTCATTTTACTCTTATTCCTATGCCAGTGTCCTGGGGATTTTATTAAGATCCTGTTAGTGTTTCAAATTTTCAATTACCTTAAATATCCAGTGAAGTCACCTCTTGATTAATCAAAAGTGGTTTTTGTTTTGGTTTTTTTTTTCTGGCCCTTTAAAGACCTCCTTTATAAAATGTGTAGAAAGCAGAGTGGCAAAGAAGAAATGATAAAATTCAAGGTCATTAGTGTTTTTAGCAGTAAAGTGTAGAATAATAAGATATCTAAATGAAATTTTCTCCTTTGTGAATAAGTTAGTCTAAAGTTTCTACAAGACAGTCATGAATGTATGCTCTTGTTTGTGGTTTTGTACTTTTGATACAAAGTCTCACTGTGAAGTTCTGACTGATCTTGAACTCATTGTGTAGTCCAAGAAGGCCTGCAGCACCCTGAGCCCCCCTGCCTTGGGCCAGCACCCTAGATGTATGTATTTTTGGTACCGGGGATCAAATTCAGCACCTTGTGCTTGCCAGGCACACACATGTTGCTGAGCTATCTCTCCAGCCCTCTATATTCTTAATAACTTTTTAATATAGAAAAATTTTCATCTGTATTTGCTTTCAAATATACCTAGTGATACTGTAAAGAGTGAAAAAAATTATAAGAACGGAATTGTGAAAATAAACAACCTGCTTAATCAGTATTTTTATGGTATCTTTTAGGGAAGAGTGTACAGGGTGTCCAGGGTCTCACCACTAGATCTGACTCATAGTGAGCCACCTGTGTACAGCCTCCCAGGAGCTGGGATTACAGGCGTGCACCACCACTCCCAATCTCAATTGTCATCTCAGCATGCCCCGGGGACGGGGCCAGAACAGCAGGCCCAGGGATTGGACCCCCAGTCCCTATACCTGCTTGCAGGCACTTTAATCCACTGAGCTATTTGGCCAGCCTTAATCAGTATTTTTAAAAGTATTTAAGCAATTCAGAAAATTTATTTGAACTAAGACTAACTGAAAAAAAAGACGCTGATAGGAACAGTAGTCACATCTTGTGTGTAACTAAATCAGATTCTGGATTTAAGTATACCACATTTGAGAAGTGGGAAGAGAAGAACAGGCGTTCTGTTACGTCAGGTAAGCCAGCGGTTCTCTCCAAGCTTGCTGAAGTCTGTCGAGCAGGCCCTGGCCTGGTTACACTAGGCCAGCGCTCGCGTCCAGCTGCCCTCACCCGTGCCTCTCGCCTTCCGCCAGGTACAGCCAGTACCAGCGCATGCTGAGCACGCTGTCGCAGTGTGAGTTCTCGATGGGCAAGACTCTGCTGGTGTATGACATGAACCTCCGGGAGATGGAGAACTACGAGAAGATTTACAAAGAAATAGGTGAGAGAAGCGTAAAGGAATCAGTGTTTCTGTCTCTTATTTTTGAGGGTCTAAAGAAATGCCCCAAATTGTCCTTTGTTGGTAACAAAAGGATAGCAATGATTATAATATTAATAAAAATAACAGTAAATACTAACCATAAAAATGTTTATCCTAATATGCAGTGCTTTGGTTTACAACATCTATTTTGTCATCAGTGGAACTACAAGTTACTTATTTT